CACAGCCACAACCTCCATTCAAGGGGGAATGGAGGAATGACAAGGTCACATTATAGAAAAATATGTGAGATAGGAGACATTTCCATGCATTTTTGGAAAATAAAATCTGCTACATTTGTATTGAAAAATTTGCCATAGTCTAGATCTTGGTGTCATATTTTTAGATGTTCTACTGGGTGTGGTCTTTGATGTTAATTTGGTTTTCCAAAGGCTGGTAATAGATATTGACTAATATATTTTTATTCTGAAAAAAATTTGGAAAGAAATACTTAATTTTGATCTATGGTTGGCCAGAATTGCTGTGTATCTTTGCAGATAAATGCCTATCCTTTTTGCTCATTAAGTTTTCTTATTGATAAAATTCAGAATTTAGAATTTAGCATATTCAAGGTTGATAAAATGGAGAAAAAATTTATTCTGTTTCCTGTAGAAAACATTAGAAAATCAAGGCATATTAGTATTTGTCTCTTAAAATAAGAGTTCAGTACATAAAAAATAATTTTTTCTCACTTTTGAAATTGCTTATTTGAAATGATTTTTTTTTTTAAATAATGATAGTTATGGGATAAGTTCCAGTCTTTTGTCGCAAATCTAATTATACCAGTGGACATTTCATCATGAATCAGAGGCTTGTCACTGTGGAAATTGTTTTGTTCACATTTTGTTAGGAAAGGAGAGATGTGGAATGTGAAAATTGGAGATTCTGTCTAAAATTGTAAAGGGCCCTAACTTCTAATAAATGGATTCAAAAGAAACCTTAAACAGTGAGAGAGATGGAGACATTGTGATATTAAAGCAGCATGTTTTGGGGTGGTATTTGCTTTGGCTCAGCGTCAAGTGGCTCTGGCTGTCTGCTCTGCTTGGGATGGGATCCACCTTTCCACTCTGCTGAACAGCTCTGTATTGATGTAGGAAGTCCAAGGTGTTTGGCTTTTTTTGGCCATCGTTTTGGTTAGTTATGTCCTGCCTTATCCCTGCGGAGTGCTCAAAAGCAAACCAGGTTCAGCGAGGTCATGACTTCTCCAAGATCATTCCTTTAGTAGAGGCAGGAACAGAGTCTGAGCTTCATACTACAAAGCCAAAGATACTTCTCACAAGGAAAGATGTTTCAAGAGTGCTATCAATTTAGGTGTGGGAAGGAGAAATAATTTAGGACAGGTATCTAGAAATAGATATTAGGTAGTTGTGGCACCCAATTTTCTCTGGTTCCTTTTATGATAGAACTCTTAATTTGAATGCATCATGTTTTTTTGTTTGTTTGTTTTTTGGATAACTCCCAAATTTCTACCGTGCATTGTTTTTATTTATTTTTTATCTTTTCTTTCTATTCCTAGGTCTAGACTATTTATTTCATACCTATACTCTTCTAGTGGTTTAGCCATGAGTTAATAACCAATCTATTTGCTTTATTCCAAAAGCATTAATTTTTTTAAAAAGCGCTTGTCTTATACATCACTGTTATATTTCTAAACTTTCACATCTTAGCCTTGCTAAACCTCAACCTTTGTTTCTTGAAGAATGTCCATTTGCCTTAGCCTAGGATCTAAGACTTATTGTGAGATGACCTCAACCTAAATTTAAAATGGTTCTCTCCAAATGCTAGCCAGTGCTGTATTCAAATGAACTGTTGGTTTCTCCTTAAACCTGTCACTTTCTTCTGCTAGGTACTCCAGCTTGAAAGCTCTTCTCCCCACTCCTCAATGATTGCTATTTGTCAAAATCCACTCCATCCTTTAAGATTCTCCTAATATAAAAACCTCTAAGTGCAGCCTTCACCCCTAATGTAATTTATATTGCTCTTATTTTTGCTCTTAGTATATTTTTATTACTTTGTGGCACTGGTCACATGATGTCTTATATGATATTTATTTTATATAATTGCCATATCCTCATTTCCTCAAAATGTTTATAAGGTAAGGACCATGTTTTATTCCTCTTTTTTGCTCTCATGTGGCCCACAACAATTCCATATGGTAGATGCGATAAGTACATATTGAAATATTTTATTATTTTTGGCCACATGGTTCTCAGAGTTGTCACACTGTGTGAGATGAGTGATAATTGGAAACATGTAAACCCATCTCCAGTTGTCAAAGTGCATACTTCAATATTCAAAGCCCTGTTTAGATGTTATCCCTGCAGGGAATTTTTGTGGGTTCACTCTGGATATAGTTAAACACATAATCCTCTGTACTGTTTGGTATCTTTTCCAAACCTCTTTGAATCCCAATTTAGAGTGCATTATAATTTGTACAGAAATCTGGGTCCTCTTATTCGATTGCGAGCCCCTTGTGGGACACTCTATGTCATGGCTCTCAGTATGCCCATAAGCCAGCATATTGTCTGGGGTCATGGTGGGCTCCTAGCATAAATGTTTATTCTGTATCGCTGCATGTATGTATACTGCAGCTGACCCCTCCTTTGTTATCATCTATGTGCCAGATATAAACTTTAGACTGCTAGGCTAGTCTTTTTCTTTCACAGATTTTTGATCTCTGTGGGTTTATTCCTAAATGACTTTTGTTCTGTGTTAGCAAAGCATATACAATTTCAAAAGGAAATAAAGTTTCACTTCCTATCCTTGTACTTAAAATAATCTCCAGTTTCAGAAAATAGAACATTCTTTGGATTTATATTCATGAAAACAAGGACATTTTTAAACTTTAAGGATACATTTAACCTTTTGAGCCTTTATTGAGTTTTTGCTATGTATGGAACACTTGTGTTAGATGTTGAAGATAAAAATTCTATGTTAAAGTCTCTGCCCTGAAGGAGTTTAGTGGATTTTACTTATTCACCACCTGTTTCTAACACCAAGGTTAGAATTGACCATGCCTAACTTTGTGCCTTGTATCTTGCATGTACATTAAATTATTTGTTTTCACATATGGCTTCAACGAATAATCTGTAAGTCCCTTAAGGACAGGTATTAAGTAACACAGGGCCTAGCACAGGATAGGTGTTCAATAAATGCTTATTAAGTAATAATTTTCTGTGCAAAGATATGAGAAAATGCAGAGTCCCTGGGATGGGAAGGAGCTTGGCATATTGAAGAACAGGTAGCAGGATAGTGCGGCTGGAATATAGTGCGGCTGGAATACAGGGGAGATAGTGATTCAAGATGAGATAAAAGGTAGTGGGACCAGAATATATTGAACAAAGTTTCTCAACTTCAGCATTATTGACAGGTTGAATAATTCTTTGTGGATAGTGACTGTTTTGTGCATTGTAGGCTATTTAGCAACATCTCTGGCCTCTAGCCAATAGATGACAGTCACACCCTTTCCTCCAAGTTGTGACAACCAAAAATGTCTCCAGATATTGCCTGGAGGTGGGGATAGAGCAAAATACATACAAACCCAAGTTCGCGTAGATCTCCTTAGTACTTATTACTATTTAAGATACAATATAGTTTATTTATGTTGTTTATTATAGTCTCTTTCCATAGAATGGAAACTTTATGAGGGCAGGAGTTTTGTCTGTCTTATTCACAGATGTGTTATTAGCACCTAGAACCATGCCTGGTACTAATTTGGCAGTCAGTGTTTGTTGAAAGAATGAATGAGTGAGGTTGCAGATGTATTATGATATTCACCTCACTAGTCATTACTGAACAAGTTTACTTCAGCTCATCCTGCCTTTGCCTTTCTTTCCCCTACCTTGCCCCACTCCCAACTCAGATCGCTATGCCTTCCTGAAATGAACCAGTTTCATGACTATATATTAATCTATTTGTCTCCCAAGTAGATATTTGTTCTCAGCCAGGTGACTAAGTGAATACATGCTGTTCTTTCTTGTGTCAGCTCCCCTTGCCTAAGATGAGTTCTCTGGGAACATGATTAGACACATGTTTGCGAGCCAGGGGTGAAATCTTGGCATTTCAGTGAGAGGAGAGCAGCAGTATTCTGACCAACTGTAACAGGATCTGAACGATAGCAGTCACTGGGTTCCTAGTGTAAATCACATCCTTATTTTTTAAAGCCAACCTTTCCATTCCCTTGTATTGGTCATCCTTTGGCTTTTGATATTTCTGCTTCCATGCTGTGAAAATGGACTGCTCTATTTTCTCAGGCTCCATAGGGATATTAAGCATTTGATTTCTTTATAAATAGAGAAGAGAAATATAATCGTAGAATAACATTGTGGATGGATTTAACAATATTTTTTAGTGAATAAAAAAGCTAGACCTTTTGTTACATTGTCTGCTCTTCTAGTCAGTAAATGTTATCATGACCACTGGGCAATGTTTGAAATCAGCCTATTCTGTTTAAGGGGGTGTTAATTGCCTTTTGATGGTGTGCAATGGATTGTTAATTATTTACATGTACTATGAAAGGTGAAAAATGGTCTTCTGCATACCTTCTCAAGATTGCTTTTAGATCTTTACTCTATGTGAACTGAATACAGTTTAGATGAGCAGCATACTACTAAACACTGTCAAGCAGAGAAGGCAGAGTGTGTGCTTTTGGTGCTTATCATGCTTATGTTAACAACAGCCAGTACCACTACTGCTACAATCACCATTTATTGAGCTCCTGCTATGTAATAACTACTCCCATTTATGTTGCTACAAGACGATTTGCCTTTGTTACTTCATTGAATGGTCTCAATAATTCTTCAAAGTAGGCATATTTCACCACTGTTCTGATTATGAAATTTGAAGAGATTTTGTGATCAGAACCATGCAGAGAGATTAATTAACAACAACAAATAAGTGAAGCTGTGACTTAAATCTAAGTTAAATAATTATTCAAATCTGTAGTAGAGGAAGTGTCTAGTATAGCAGCTAAAGGAGGCAGCTGTGTGTTTAATTGCTGGGAGGGTGGGGAGTGGATAATATAAAGAAGATAAAGTCCCTTCCCTCAAGGAGCTTACCTTCCAGAAGATATTTTTCTCAAGCCAAGTGAGTTAGTTTCTTTTTATAATCTTAATTCCCATGTGTAAATATGACTACATAGTAAACCTGAGTATTTTCTCCTCTTGGTTTTCTCTTTCCACAGAAGGGAGCTGGGTATCACTTGGATCTCTTCTGGGTGGCCATCCTCATGGTGGTGTGCTCCTTTATGGCTCTGCCGTGGTATGTGGCTGCTACCGTCATCTCTATTGCTCACATCGACAGTTTGAAAATGGAGACAGAGACTTCTGCACCTGGAGAACAACCAAAGTTTCTAGGAGTGAGGTGTGTTAAGTCAGAGGAAGATGGCTCTATAGGACACATTGTGCACACATCTGTTGTCAGTCATAAGATATGGGGCTGGTGATGATTAACTTATTCCTCTATTTCCTGTTCTGGAAAGGACTACATTTTTATCAGAGAGTTTTCAGTAATTTTTTAATTCACTTCTTATGATGTATAAATTTCCTTTGATTAATGAAAGGCTAAATGATGCAATATAATAACACAAGCAAGTCATTCATTTTATTCAACATGCAGATGATTTTGGTGCTAGAATTCTTACTCTATCACAATCATATATAGAGGCCCTAAAACTCTTGAGTCTGCTTTTGATTGCTAAGATTCTGTGAAAGGAAAATAATTCTTATTTTCCAATTTATTTTCTGTCCCAATAAGCATACTTTGACCACCAGCTGTTAAATTGGGGTAGTCATGAAGGGCAGTGGTAGAAGACCTTTGTACTCTGTTGAGTATTTTTTTGCAGCAAACCCTGCTCATAAGTGCTTGGGTGGATATCACACATGACAGAGCCATCGTTTCCCATGCCACAGTAGTGGGCAATTCTTTCTAGGGTGGTATGGAAGCGGGGGTTGTATGGGAATCATATTTGTTGAAAAGTACTTTTGTTGTTGTAGGTTTGGAAATTAGACTGATGCGATTTATTGCACTCATGAAATTTCCCTCAGCTGTTTGTTAATTAGAATGTGGGACAATGTAATATCTGTCTCCTGTGAACGAAGGTGTAATTACACAACAGAAAAAGTTGTTTAAGAAATAAGGGTTCAAAGAGGCTGGTAACCCTTGAACTAAGAGCAAGTGATTTTTCTTCCTTGGTTCTAAAAGAAGCAGGATCTCTTCTCTCTTCATTAATTCAAACCACATATTGCAATGGCTTTAAGAGATTTTTTTTATGGTTATGTTGAGTTTATATGCTGTCCTTGAGGTATTAATTACATGTCAATGCCTTTGCTGTTTTAGCCAAACATTGATTCAGTCAATGCACAGTCTTTTTTTGAAGGTGAAAAGACAAGAGCATGTTTATGAAAACAAGAGGTAGATTGGTAATCTTCTGATTTGGTTTCAGGGAACAAAGAGTCACTGGAACCCTTGTGTTTATTCTGACTGGTCTGTCAGTCTTTATGGCTCCCATCTTGAAGGTAAATATGTGAAACGCTCGCCTTCTCCTCCTCCTCAGAGCACTGACAGATAATTGCTTATGCGCAGAGTGGAAATCCTCATGAAATATTTGCAAGATTCTCATCAGTTCTATAATACACTGAAGCAGGGGTCAGATAGAAAGAGGACTTTGAAAAGCTTTTGTCTTGATTTCCTTTTCACTCCTTCTCCCCTTCCTTTATTGTTATTTTTGCTGTTATTTGGTTGAACCATATGAAATTATTCATATTCAAACTTCCTGATCTCTGAAAATGGCAGTTCTTACAGTTCCATCTGACTGATCCCCCCACAGCACACGCGCATACGTTTTACTTCCCCGTCTTCCTACACATCCTTTCTTCCATCAACTTCTGTTTTCTTGTACCCAAATCCTGGCCCCCTCCTCCCATTAGACTCCTGGATAATATGACTGATTCGCATGCTCATTTTGAAATTTTTCTCCTATTCCTAATTATTGCTGTGCTTCTATTTTCTTTGAATCAGAAGGCCTGATAGTCTACTAAGGGAGATTAGAGTAAAATTATTGATTTATAATTAGAAAATTTAAGAAATGACTTTTGAAGAAGAAAAATCATATGGTAAATTACTTAGAAAGTTAGAAGTCAATGTATTGGTTTGATTGATGGGGTGTATATATGCCTAAATAGAAAAATATGAACTGTATTTGAAAACCTATTAAGAAGCAGAGATAGGACTAAAGAAGGAGGTTAGTATATATCTGTTCATGGAGCTTCCAATTTTCTTTTGGGATACAAGCATTTTATTCTTTTTTTTCTATTATATAAATAATGCTGGTCAATTATCAACAATTTGTATTTTATGCTTTGCATCACTGTACAATGCATGAAAATCATCCATAGACCTAATATATATAAACAACCACTGTTTGCAACATCCTTTCAAATTTTTCTCTAAAAATTTTTACCTTTAAACAATTCTAATTTTTAAGGTTTTAAAAATGCTCATTTAATTAGACAAGTAATGGAGCAGTACATTCTTCTAAAGAACTCAGAAGTACAGAGTGAAATGCAAAAACCCTCCACTTCTCTCAAATTAGCGAATTTTATGTCAATTGCCAATCAGATGAATTTGAGGAAAGTGGAACTGTAATATCTTAACCTATAGATAAGACTAACTTTGCCTTCAGGGAGTTGAGACTAATGCATACATTATGTATACAATACTTGGTAAGTAGTTAAAAGAATTTAATTATTTATCCTTTGTCTTTGGTTTCCACAATGTCAGTTAACTGATTTAATTAATTTCTGACCAGATTCATGAAGGAATATGTATCTCATGTAATACATGGGGAGTTAAGATTAAAAATAACCACAGAGAAATTGTTTCTAGTTATATACAGAGGACTTTAAAAGAGTTCAGAGCTTGTGTTATGCAGGGACAGAGAGAAATCTGTTGTCACTTTTGCCAGTGCAAAGCAAGTTATGGGCTAGGTTTGAAGATGCAGTAAGTTTCACAGCATAGAATCCGCTGCCAAAATGCTTTATGTTTCTCTGTCACCGTATAGACATCAGCACATCAGCTTGGGGAAAAGCTTAATGACAGCTTTAGCTCATGGTAGTGTGAGGTCATTTGTAGAGAGGTCATTTGTAGAGAGTTCATTGTAGGTGTTTGTGATCCCATATTGTAGGAGGGTCTACTAGAAGTTAATTTTCCCATGGAGTTCTCTGAAGGTGGGCTTGCATGGTACAACTGTAATGTTTCTTTTATGGGGATTCCTAGTGCTTAGTCACTGGTGAGGGATAAATGTTCAGAAATCTTTTCATCAGTTCAAATTTACTTGTCACTCTCCCCCATTTTTTCTTTTATTTTTATATTATTTCTTTTCATTAATACAGTATAAAGTTCTAATTCAAAATTGTCAGATATGTTTAAAAGTTCTTTTTGTACGTGTTACAGCAAATTGGTTTTAATACTGGAGAATCTGTCAGCTGAGTAATCACGTATGATTCCAGAGGGACACAGAAAACAGAGACTGTATAAATTGCTATCTTTAGGAAGAGATGCAAGACTCACATTTTCAACAACGCCTCTTCCTAACTATTTTCTCACTCTGCACCCAAATATGGCTGCAGAGGATTGAAAGATGAAAGCCCTTTTGTTCTTTACAATGATTTTTTTTTTGCCCCTGATATGCAAAGCACCTTAGTATCTACAGGAACAGATTAGAATGCAGAGAAAGGAGACAGAGAGATACAAGGGATCAGTGAGCATGAGCTTGCTTTTCCTTTGACCTTCCTTAACTAATCCATGCTTTGGCTCACATTCATTCAGCTGCTAGTGTCCACGATTGTGGCTATTTCCACCTGGCAATTTTGAGTTTACCCAAAGAGTCATTGTAAAAATCAGTGAAAAAGGTAATCCAGAAAACCTCTTTTTTAAGCAAGATTTTGTCCAATATATGGGAAATTAAATTGTTTGTTAATATAGTTTTTAACATATTGTGGAAAACCTAGATTTAAGAACAAGAGGAAAATTGTCTGGCATTGGTAATTGAGATTCCTTACTTCAGTAAGTTAGGCTATTCCTGTCTTGAGGAATCACATCTGATAACGTCCGCAAATTTAAGATCATGAGCCCTTCTTACCATTGAAATTTGGTAAGTTATGTGTATTCGTCATGGATCCCCTGTTAGCTCATTTGAAAAGTCAGTACAGGAAGAAGCAGATGGAGAGGGTATAGTTTAACTAAAACAAGTTCAGACTCAGTAAAAGTCAAGATTAACAATTAACCTCAGAATTCACACAGAAAGTGGTGTCAGGGGTTACCTTGGAGGAGGGAACTTTTTTCCTCTCTCATGTGACTATGTATTTTTTTAAAGAAACAGAAGACAACTTCAGAGGATGGCTTTCCTTAAGCGTCTGACTTTGAAAGGCAGATCAAATGAATGGGATCAAGAGAAATGTGTGACTTTTACTTTTTAGAATGAAATGGCTCAACACCTTCCCTGCCCAGCTCCTTACAACCCTTACAAGTTTAATGTTCTCAGATGATCCTAGTAATTTTCTCTACTGAATTAAGCATGTAAGCAGTCATTCCCCCTGCCTGTTTATGCAAGTTTACTTTGAACATGAAGTTTATGACCTCTGTTTTGATCTCTTTGCTGAAATCTGCCTTTTTATGTGGAAGAATGTAAGGAATTATAGTGTACCAGCTTTAAGTTCACGAGGATACCCCTGATCCTAGCCAGCAACAGTCATGCATGCCTCAAGCGCTGAATCTCACAGCGATTCAGTACAGAACTGTTGGGAAGCAAGAATAACTGGCTTCCCAGGCTGGTTAAATAGTTTAGATCTGTTTTTCTGCAGAGGAAGCATTGCCTGTTAAGCTAATATTCTGTATGAAGAAAGTAGGGGAGACTAAAGAACAGCAAAAAGATGAAAAGCAGTTCCTTGAGCTTACTATTTTCATTTTTTTGGCAAGCCTAAAGAAATAAAGATCAAGTAAAGTTCACTGCTACTCTCTTGCCTCTGCTTGAATGAGTTTATCTTTAACATGAGTGGCCAAAATTTATCTGTAAGATTTATTTAGTGTTCTAGGGCCGGCCCAGTGGCACACTGCTACAGTGCGCCACTTGGGAAGCGCGGTGGCGCTCCCGCCGAGGGTTCGGATCCCACATACAGACCGGCCGCTCACTGGCTGAGCGAGGTGCGGGGGCAGCACCGAGGGTTGCAATCCCGTAGCCGGTCCCGGTCCGGTACGGGCGGGACACTGAGGGTTGCGATCCGTGGCCGGTCACGAAAAAAGACAAAAAGGAAAAAAAAAAAAAAAAGATTTATTTAGTGTTCTAAAATGTGGAGGATGGCATTTTATTTTGGCATTAAATTTGCAAGATGGTCTCTTGCAAATGTTTGTTGAGCTCCTACAATATGCCACACACTCTGCTCAGTACTAGGGAAACAGAGTAATAGCAGTGGTGGCGATGATGACGATTGTAACAGTAGCTACCATTTACTGAGCTTGGTATCGGATGAAGGGCTCAGCACAGATTTTTAAAATTTAGTTCTTTAGTGATACCTATGAAAAAATATAATCATCTCCATTTTATAGATAAGAAAGATTATGAATAACTCACCAGGCCACAAAGTTCTTAAACAATAGAGCCAAGATTTGAACTCAGCCATAGCTCTGGCACCAAAGCAATGTCATAACCCTCCTGGCTTGCCACCTTTTAAAATAAAACACAGTACTTGCCCTCAGAGAACTCATTCACTTTCATTTCCCATGAGATGATCTTCCCCAACTTCTTTGATCCAATTTCTAATCCTCTCTTATGTGGAGGGAAATATGGCATTTTCACAAATTCCTCATTCCATTTTCTTCAATGACTAGGAACTAGATTACATGTCATAGGCTTCCTTATGGGCTTAGACTTTTAAGGCTTTTAAGGGAATTAGGATGTTATTTTAATAAGGTTTCTGAAGGCAGTTGTTATAGCCAAAAGAGCAATATAGCAGAGCTTAATAAAACTGGGGTTTTGAATCTGACCTTTGCAGCTGTGCTTCTGGCCTATATCCCTGCCACCACTTACCCCCACCCCTGAGGAACCAAAGAGAGTTGTGCTTGGTGATTGCAGGCCTCTCAACTTACCAGTTAAGGTCATCATGATAATGATGACATCAATACCACATTTGTCATTTATTATCTATTGTGAGCCAGATCCTGGACTAGATGGTTTGTGCTATATAGTCTTTATCATAGCCACTTTCAAGATGAGAATACTGAGGATAAGAGAAGTTAATAATTTTCTCAGGGTTACACAACTGGTAAGGCCAGAATTTGAACACAGGTCTGTCTGACTTCTGTGCCCATGCTCTTAATCAAGACTTCATTCTGGGTTTTATACACATACACGCACACACACATGAACAATTATTCTAATGGGAGGTCTCACTACTATACTGAATTCTGTGTTGGACAACTACAATCTACCATATTATTAAATTTTCCCTTTTTGCATTGTTCCTTCTGGGAATATTCTAACACTATCAGCAAATCAAAGTGATAAAGAGAGGAGCTACATTCACCAGAATTTGAAAATTTTGGTGGTATGGTCTGAATATGTTAAAACTTACTTTAATTTCATCTCAATTTTGTTATTCTGTCTGATTATAGGATCAATTACTCAGTTTTTTCATTTTCAATATTTATTAAATGTCTTATACTACTGATTTATAATTATGCTTTTTAGCTTTCCAGGTATGATTGATTATTTATATAATTTTCTTTGCATAATTTTATCATTTGGCAATTCTTGATATGCCTGTAGCCCTGGTATACCTTGTGTTTTTTTATGTCTTAACTTCTGTCTTGCTTTGAAATGTCTATGTATGATTGCTATGTACTGATTTAACTTAAGATGAGGTCCTGTCTTTTTACGACACATTCTTCTTTTCTTTCCTTTGAGAAATTTCTATTTTAATGAATGATTCTATTTTGATCAATTTTAAGAACTGACCTTCTGATGTGATTGATGGACCAAATTTAATAAAATATTTTCTAACACAATAGATTTCCGTATTGGAAGATTTTTTTTTTTTTTTTTTTTTTGTCTTTTTTCGTGACCGGCAAGGGGATCGCAACCCTCGGTGTCGCTCCCGCATCTCGCTCAGCCAGTGAGCAGCCGGTCTGTATGTGGGATCCGAACCCTCGGCGGGAGCACTGCCGCGCTTCCCAAGCGGCGCACTGTAGCAGTGCGCCACCCGGCCGGCCCCGGTATTGGAAGATTTTTAATGAGACGTTGCACTATTGTAATGAAGATGGCAAATTTCATAGGAGCTTCGTATCACATAGACATTGGCCAAAAATGGACTGAATAGCCTTGCTTATATCTACAATTTCCTTTCCCACAAAGAATATTTAAAAAAAAAATAAAGTGTATATTTAAAGCTATTTCCTTACCCACACCCCATGCCATTCTCTAATTGTAAATTTGCAGAGAATGGACCTAAGCAGCAAAGCACAACTTTCCTTCATTTTGGCATCAGAACCACATTAGAGAAAATATTTACCTTAGCTTAGGTGAGGGGTGAGGACAGACTGGGGATGGACCCTTTGTAATTACTTTTTTTCAAGCTAGCAAAGTATTTTATTCAAATTAAGAAGTAACTACTGCAGGAATTCTAACTAGTTTCCTTGAATGAAAGCTAGTTAGAATTCCTGCAGTAGTTACTTCTTAATTTGAGTAAAATATTTTTTCTTTTTTACCCTCCCACCTTTTTTTCTCCCCCCACCAAATTAAAAATGAAATTATGAGAAAGAAGTCATCATACCGGTCCGCTCACTGGTTGAGCGCAGTGTGGGCGCGACACCTAGGGTTGCGATCCCGTTACCGGTCACGAAAAAAAAAAAAAAAAAAGTCGTCATAAATTAAGAAAAAATGGAAGATGTTTAAAAAATAATTGAGTCAGAGCTATAAAATGGTTCCTGTGTTAGTTTTGTTTTTTTATTTTTTGGTAAATTTATATAGAGGATTCGTAAGGAATAGAAACATATGCATTCTAAAAGAAAATAAAGGTGTGTGTCAGAACTCAAGTGACTTGAATGTGATGTGTTCAGCATTTTGTGGTGACTGTTGGGTATTATAGCACACTGGCTTTCCCTGCACAAACACCATCTCTCCTATCTCCTTTAACATTCTGTACCATTTATTCTCTTCTGAGCTCAAAATCAAAATTAGCTACAATAAATAGTCTTTTTCTGAAGAAGCATTTGATGTTTTGTATAAATAAGCATATTAATTCCATATAAATGTAACCATTCCTATGTAGCAATTAGAGACAGTCATGCACCATTTAGAATTCACTAGTTCTCTAATAATGGCCAAAGGAGCTCAGAAGAACTGTTTTAGGCAATCATGAGAACAGGCTGATAGAAATTGTGCTTCACTTAATACATGTGGTAGTGCTTTAAAAATTACTCTAAATCCATACTACATTTTCTGGTGACAATAGCCTCCTTTATTTGGATTTTGTAAGATCGGCCTTAATTGACTTGTGGTTTTAGTATTTTAGCTTTGAAAAATCCTGAAATTACTTGACCTTCTTTTCAAAATCCAAGGTTGAGAGTCTTTTGTTGTCCAGACAGAAGACTTCCCAGAAACAAAATCACCCTTGATTTGCTTAGTTTTCTCAGTACTAAGAACATTTCATAGGTCTAAGAATAGATAAAATTTACAGACATCACACATTGGAACTTCTCATTGTTAAAACACTTTGTATTAATGTAAATGATTTTTGCTAATTAATGCATGAACATGTATTTAGTTGTAAAAGATGTGTATTTGTCCATGTGTGTAATTAATTGCTTCCAGATGTTCATGTTCGTTTCAAGCAATGTTCTCATTAGTTAGTCCTCTTCATATTCTTGAGAAGAGGAAAGGGGACAGTTGTTTGATGTTTATTTTATTGAGAGAGGTATTTATACACCAAGCTGATAGATCATTCAGTAAAAATTATTAAGGAAAAGTCAACAGACTGTTGTGAAAGGAATTTGGTTTCGAGAGTGATTTCTACCTCACAGTCCATGCAAGCACGTGTTTTACAGAGTCATTCATTTTAAGGGGAAAGAGGAACAGAACTTTTTCCCTAATTTTAAAAAAAAGTTATTATTAAGGTCATGCATGCTCATTGTAAAAAAAATAGGCATAAAATGAAAATCAAAAGTCCTCTTTGCCCTGCCTCATTTATTTCTAGTATGAAAAGTTTAGAAGTTTATCCATTATGAATAAAGCACACTGGTCAGAGGTCACTGGGTTATTGTATCCTATCTTTTAGTTTCAGATTTAGCCTTTATTTAAATGATTTGTCTTCATTACTTTTTAAATTATTGTTGTTTTTAACCTTTAATCACTTTTTTTCTTTTCTAGTTTATTCCCATGCCTGTACTCTATGGTGTATTCCTGTACATGGGGGTAGCATCCCTTAATGGTGTGCAGGTGAGTTGTCTGTAGCAATATAAGTATAGTAGTAAGTTTTTCTCATAATAAGAATAGTCCAGTCATAGATCTTTGGAGAAATGTGCTAATCAACTGCTCGGTTTTTAAAACACATTTATTTTCAACTTTCTCCTCTAGTCAGTCACCTGCTTTTCATTTCCAATTTAATCAACAAAGTTAGCTGCTGTTAACAAATGTTATCATATATACACATTCTTGAAATAGGCTATTAAAAGTCATTCGACCAGAAAAGGGAGAGAGCTCTAATCTTTCTTTTCCTTTCTTCTTTCTTTCTCCCCGTTTCTCCCCCTCTCTCCCACTCTGTCTCTGTCTCTGTCTCTCTTTCTGTGTGTGTTTCAAGAAGGACATCTAACTCTTTCAGTGTGCTCTTCAAGATAGTACTTATACAACAGGCTATTCTTATGTGATTTGCTTTTCACATGGCTGAGATCAATAAAAGAATAAATTCAATGTGGTTTATGTGCTGCTTTTGTTGAAAACTTCATCAATTCACAACTTTGGTAAAACCGACCCCCTTTTTAAAAAAAATCATTAGGGAAAACTTGGTAAGCAACTTTGTCTTTCAACTGAATTTTAATTTAATTGGCACCAGGAAACTGGAAGTACTTCTGCTGCTTTCTGGCACCTTGTTAATTGTAGCCCTATTTAGCACTTAGTAATGTTTTAATGGGAAAAGACTGCATGTTCTGTGAACTCATAAGAATTTATTTGAACCTCTTCAAAATAGTCCTTGCTTTCATTTATTAATTTTAGAGTAATTTGGTTTTAGAGTCAGAGCTGGGAAAGTGGCCAGACCCCCCAAAAGAGAAAAGGCTACTTTACTTTTTTCTGTTTAGGTCCGTTGAGTAGAGTTCTTCACCATTTGGATGTTTGTTACAAAAATACAAGGTGATTCTTCATAGACTGAACTAGATGAATGTGAATGTGGGCTTATTTGGGCCCATGAAACTTTTGAGAAGTATAAATTTGTAAAAATATTTTATTTTTACCTGCTGTTGTAAATATTCTTTATTCCCCTAAATGGAAAAATATGAAACAAAAATGGCTCCCAAACTAATAGTTCTTATTTTTATCCTTAAAGATCTGGTCTAGATCAGAAGTTTGTATGTATTATTCGGCTTTATCAGTTGAAACTCAGTACAAGTTCATTTAATAAAAAAGAAGAAAAAAATCAAATATGTCATAATGATGGGAAAAAACAGCTGAAGGAACAGCTAGTGGCTTTCTTAAATTGTGCAGTGCTATTGCCCCTAATGCTTTTTCTCCTTTTTCTTACTTTTCTCTTGACTCTTCCCACTTCTAGAATTTTTGGCAAGATCTGATTTAGTAAGAAATTTTGTAACCTAATCTTTATAAATGAGAAGGTCCCCACCACTCAAAAATGGCACTAGAGGGAGAAAGAAAACCCTTTCAATAGGAAATCACTCCAGAGAAGATTGTCTGTGATAGTCTAGTTTACCTTTAGACTTCTCCTTCCCCTGCGGAAAGAAAATAGAGATATTATTTCAGAGTTCTTATCATATAACGGTTCAATTCAGCAGCTGTTTACTAGGCATCTTCTATTGAAAGACTCTATGATAGGTTCTTAAATATCATCCCATTCATCATTACCGATGTCAACTCAGCAGTTATTCTTTGAAATACAGCACCAGGCACATACTTAATAGTCATTTCCATATCTGCTTATACATGACTGTGTGATAGCCTCTCTTAGATTCACAAACTCACTGTAATATTCATGAGGCTTTTCTCTGAAAAGAAATGGTAATACATGCTGAATGTATTAGTCAAATTATGCCATAGTTAAGTAATGTGCAATTTATGAAAATATAAATGCATTCCCATTTTCAAGTTGGATACTTCCTTTGTATCTTTAAGACATCCTGAAATGTATATGATGCATAGTCATCCCCTCTTCTTTTGGATAAGATAACCGAGGCAGAGTAAGATATATGAATTAAATGTCTCCCTTCAGCATGTCATTACTAAAATAGGCACAAGATCCTGTCTCTTGAGACTCAGATGGTGAAAATAGAAACTAGGAGATGAGCATCTAGAATTTATCTTTTGCTATGTGACTTTATCCTTTGGTGGCCACTTATCTCATATATCTGCATAACATTCCTGCAAACTAACAACAAAAATCAGGAGCCTTGTACTATCTTACTGTGCTAGACTGAATTTCTGTACCTTTAACCAGTGCTTTGTCTTCTGGAAAGGATACTGCTTGCCTCAATTATAGAATATAAATCACTAGTGGTTAGTTAGGCATAGTGGACATGACTTTATATACCAGCTTTTGAAGTAATGCAGTTGGACTCTCTCCCCCTTTCCTCCCCAGTTCATGGATCGCCTGAAGCTGCTTCTGATGCCCCTGAAGCATCAACCTGACTTTATCTACCTGCGACATGTCCCCCTACGCAGAGTCCACCTGTTCACTTTCCTGCAGGTGTTGTGTCTGGCCCTGCTCTGGATCCTCAAGTCAACTGTGGCTGCTATCATTTTTCCAGTCATGGTAGGGATTCTTTTAATTGAACCTACTCTTGAGGTGATATTGATATCATGTGGTTATTGTGATATGGAAGACGTATCTTTGATGTGTGGTTCCACTTTTTTCCAGCTTTGACCTCATCACTTTGATCAATTGTAATTTAAGTTTCTTATGTCTATAGTTGTCTGTGGTGGACCTTAGAGTCAGGTTCTCCTGAGTTCAAATACTGGCTCTGGTTCTTACTGGTCTATGAACCTCTTGGAGCTGCCATTGACTCATCAGCAAAATCTTATTGTTTTTCTGAGCATCAATAATGAATATCAAGCATACAGCACAGTGCCTGACACGTAGTAGATACCAGGGCACGTTAGTTATTTTAAAAATATTGTACAATAGAATCAATGTAAATAAGAGTAAAGGACATTTCGGTCCAAATAATAGCAAAGATTGATGACTTAACGAGAAATCATCCCATGCATTAAAAGAAATGGAGAGAGGAGTTCAGATGTTGATGTTCTCGTGGTTTGCATCACACTAAGTTTAAGGATAAGACTGGACTCTCTATCCTTGTTATGATAGTGATGAGAAGCAAGGTAAAGCAACTAACATTCCGTTCTGAATCACGAGTGAAACAAGGGGAAAAGGAAATGCAAGCTTCTGTATTTGGCTTCACTACTGAATTTATACTTTACCGTACATAACTCTCCATTTCTTACAATAAAAACACACAGACATATACTTAAAACAGGTCACAAAACTAGCCCCTGCTCTGTTCTATCTCCCACACAACTTTGGAAACAAAATTTTCATATATCACCTCCTTTTATTTTTTATAAAAATCCTCTTACTCTTAGTCAGGATTATTATTTTATTTTGTTTTATATATATTTGTTGTTTGTAATTGTTTTTTTTCTTTCAGGAGCACAGAAAAAAATGGTATAAAATACTAGTGATATTTAAGTCAGGTTTTTTTTTTCTTAATGCTCCCTTGTGTCTTACTCCCCCCCCCCCCCCCCCCCCCCCTCCTCTTTCTTCCCGCAGCACAGAAAACACTGGTATAAAATACTAGTGATATTTAAGTCAGGTTTTTTTTTTCTTAATGCTCCCTTGTGTCTTCCCCCCCCCCCCCCCTCCTCTTTCTTCCCGCAGCACAGAAAACACTGGTATAAAATACTAGTGATATTTAAGTCAGGTTTTTTTTTTCTTAATGCTCCCTTGTGTCTTCCCCCCCCCCCCCCCTCCTCTTTCTTCCCGCAGCACAGAAAACACTGGTATAAAATACTAGTGATATTTAAGTCAGGTTTTTTTTTTCTTAATGCTCCCTTGTGTCTTCCCCCCCCCCCCCCCTCCTCTTTCTTCCCGCAGCACAGAAAACACTGGTATAAAATACTAGTGATATTTAAGTCAGGTTTTTTTTTTCTTAATGCTCCCTTGTGTCTTCCCCCCCCCCCCCCCCCCGAACTACATTATCTTACTGGAAAACATACTGAGTGTGAGAAATGACTCACATTCACCTATTAGTATTATCCACTTACCTATTAATTTTGCTAAAACCAGGAAGAACAAAGCTAGACCAGGGTAAATTTTAAATATATCCAGTAAATCACTTACTGCTTAAGCTAAATAATAATTAAAAATGCTGTACCTTTATAAGGTGTTTTTATTTTTTTGGAGCTTTTATTTGGTCGCAAAACAATCCTGTAATATCAGCAGAGTAAATGTTATTAATTTCTCTAGGAGATGAAGAAACCAACATATATAGAACATGATGTGATAAAGACACTATTTAATTTGCAGCAGAGCCAGGCCTCCTGTAACTTGCTGCACACTAATTTTACTCTTGATCAAAGATATTTTAAATGTACCTTCAGAAGTTACTCTTCAAGAGAAGTTCGTAGAACCAAAGATCCAGAGGTCAAGGAATACTTGTTTTGGAAGCAAACATCTGGACCCTTTGTATTGTTCCTTCATCTGGTTTCATGATCTTAGATAACACACTCAACATCTCTAAGCTCCAGTTTCCTCAGCTATAAGATGAAGATAATAATATCTACTTTTTGGGTTTGTTGTGAAGAATAAATGAGATAATTTTGGCTAAGAGTTTTTAGCACAGTATCTGACACATGGTAAGTATTCAGTTAATGGTAGTGATTGGTGTAGTCCACAAATGAAATAGTCTATGCATTCTCAAATACTATCTCATTGTTAACACTTCGAAGATACCTTAGTGTACTTTGTGTTGTATAGATTTTCTTGACTTTTTAATTTGGAATAATGAGAAGTCATATGCAAGCTACTTTTTGCCTTTAAACTTTATTTTATGAAAAATCTGACATAGAAGGAATTGGTTTTGAAAAATAATACTTCTGTATAAAAATTCTAATTAATGCGACCAGTATGTTCCAGTGAACAAAACAAAGTGAGTTTCAACTAAGACTCTTATGAAACAACATTTCCTATTAAGAAAATGATTATGGTTTGCTTAATATAAGCCCATATAGTCAAGACGAGTTCTATCATACTTTAGCCTTATACAAAATAGGTTTTTGCAGACTTTGATAGGCAGTATCAAAACTCATTGTGACTTCATATGACATGGTGTCTTTCTACTTTTTATATTTGTCCTTCCAGATCTTGGCACTTGTAGCTGTCAGAAAAGGCATGGACTACCTCTTCTCCCAGCATGACCTTAGCTTCCTCGATGATGTCATTCCAGAAAAAGACAAGAAAAAGAAGGAGGATGAGAAGAAAAAGAAAAAGAAGAAGGGAAGTCTGGACAGTGACAATGATGATGTAAGAAACTTTCAAACATTCCAAAGTAAAGCTAGTTAAAGAAAAAAAATGCGAAAACTGTACTTTTTTATACCTGATGTGAGATGGAAGTCTAAGTTCTAAGAATGTTAGAACTAAGAACGGCTGTGTGACCTACCGCTCATTTCACCTCCATTTGCCTCTTATATTCTCTCTTTGGTTTTTTTGAAGTCTTAGATTTTCTCTTTGTTTTTTTCTGAAGTCTTCCTGTAGCTGTTGATGCACTAATAAAGACATCATAACTTCTGGGGGGAAAAAAACACCATGTTTTAAGCACTCCAGTATTATAGATATAAAGGAAGTTTGCTCTTTAATGCTATAAAATGTATTTGGTTTGCTATTGACAATCCAGGATTTATATTTGAGATAATAACTCAATTTTATGTAATTTTAAGCCTAATGTATACAGAGCTTGGTGACCTCACCTCCCATGATCTGTGTATCTTTTTGCATAGGCTCTCAACCAAAGTCCTGTGCTGTTATATTATACTAGCATTGTATATATGCTAACATGATTTGACATTATTTCTCCTTAACTCTTAAGTAAAATGGAAAGGGAATTGGAGTTTGGGGTCTTTTTATATAATTAGAGCAGTCAGTGTCATGGTCTAGATGGTCCTCCTGCTATTGAGTGATCAAGCTAAGAAATGAAATTATTGCCTATTTTTTTTTCTTTAGGAGATTATTTCACAGAAATACAGATGCTCCAGTAGGAATCTATAATCAGTGCAAGGAGGAAAGCTGAGAGTTTTCTCTAATACACACACACACACACACACACACACACACACACACACACACACACACACACAGTGTATTCAAGTTGCTTTTGAAAAAAATTGCCAAAATGACATTTTCCATATGAAAATTTGTTGTGGAGTTTGCATAGTGAAGTATCATAAATGTCCTTTTTGTGTGTCACTACCCATTCTAAAGTAGGAATATAATCAATTTTTAGTATCTACTCAGTACTTGATAACTTCGATCATGCTTACCTCATAATAACTGTTTAAAGTGTATATGTTTGTTCCCATTTTACAGTTGAGGAAATTTGCACTGAGAAATGTTAAATCTTTTTTTCCCCAGATTTATTGAGGCATGATTAAAAAATAAAATTGTATATATTAAAGGTGAACAACGTGATGCTTTGAAATCATATTTAAGTCATTTTTCTAAATGTACACAGCTATAAATAGCAAAGCCAAAACTGTAATCCAGGTTGCTCTGGTTATTTTCAACTGGTCAGGCTGTCTGATTGTATTCTTTCTGTAGAACTTGGAAATAGTACAGTGAAGGAAGGTAACAGACCGAATTGGATTTCAGATAAACTGATTCAATAAGAAAAACTAAATATATGAGGCACATTTAGCTAAAGAGTAAAAGAGTCTGACAGAGCTTTTATGACTGTCATCATCCATCTGCAGTGAGAGCAGGTGTATAGATTTTCTGTTTCCAATGATGACAAAAAAAGAGAATGTGTTTAAACTGCAGCAGAAATTAAGATACTGTATTAAGAAGAATTACATGTTTACAAAATGAATAGAAATCAAAATTTGAAATGAATTTCTGGATCACTCGTGAAAAAAAGTTTACCTGAAATATTAAGATGATTAAAGCAGTACTTCATCTTGAATTTTGAAAATGGGCACCTCAGTTTATGTACAGGGGAACCAAACTTAAAAATTTGTTACATATTACAAACGTGTTAAGTAATATTTTAGAATCCTCTTCTCTAATGGTTTTTAAGAAAAAATAATAAAATATTAACTTTTGGTAGTGCTTTAAATTTACTGCTCTCTGGGGACAAAAGTTGGATCAAATGAGCTCTTGAGAAGTTTCTTGGATACAATTTTCAGCAAATCATATTTAGCAGTGCTATTCTTTTATCAGTATTTAACATTTTCAACTCCATATTTCCAACAGATTTCTTAACGATAATGTATAATACTTATTTCTTCCCCTCTTCCTCTTCTCTAGCCCCTCTACCCAAATAAACATATATATTCCTAGACAATGAAACCATCCAGGCAATGCAGAGTACATCTGTGCAGTAAGTTATATGTGTTGAGCCCATTATTTGGGGCTCTACATTTGGAAGGTGGCTCTCCTGAGGTTCACCTGATATTGTGTGGTGTGAACACAAGGATGCAAGGAGCCACACCAGGACACAGGGGGAACAATTCTGATATGAATGAACAGAAATAGTGAGAATTATGGCTTGTCAACATTTGGAACCACTCACAGTCATTTTTGAACTTTCCTGGTAGACTGTGATTAAGGGTTGGCTGCTAACATGTCCATCTATAAGTACTATTATTTGGGGAAATATTTGAAATACTGTACTGTTAATAAGACTTATTGTTCTTGACATTTTCATAAAGGTAGGTACATGTGGCATCTTCATTATTTTTTTTCTTTTTTTGTCAATTTAAGTTCAATGTCTTAGTTCTCTAGAAGGATCTTGTAGCTCATTATCATCTTTTGATTTCATAAAGACGTTTCCAATGTGGGTAGTAGGCTTTATGTTAAGATTTTTTTTTTGTTTTTTGGCCCCTAGTTTTCATTTTTTTTCTTTCCACTAAAGGTTGTCTCCTCAGTACTTTCAGTGAAGAGATGAATTGAATCTTTTCAGTTCAAACATAGACTTGGATTCCATATAGTGAATTTTTTTAAAAAGTCAAGTGGTAATCCTGCGGAAATATATTACAGTTTGGGTGAGGTGGACTGTTCTTTCATCAGCCCAGTGATTAGCTGTCTGGTTTTATCATTTTTGGAGGTTATGATTCTCTGCTTATCTGGCCAACATAGGCACCTTCCTCTTGATTTTATTTTCTCATGTTTTGCTTACATTTTCAAATATCTTTGGTACAAGCAAATTGAAATTGATCTTAAAACATAAAATAGTATTTGATAGAGTATTAGTGTAAGGGAGGTTTATTTCGAGTGCCATGTAGAGGACACTTTGTAGATGTTAAAGTCTTCTTATTTTGGAAGAAAAGATGGGCCATGGTTTTCCTGGAGGTGAAATCAGAGAGCATGAATGAAACAAGAATTTCAAGACCATATTACAGTTTAGGAAGATTCCTAGGTTTAATCTTCCACATTGAGAATATTTGCTTCACACATACAGCAACCCATAAAAGTTTGCTGATTGTAAATCCAGCTTGTGGAAAGCCTTACAATTAAGTGGCAGTGATCTCCATTTGGTGTGATTCTAGTTTTAATTGACTCAGTTTCGTTAGCCCAGAAGAGAGGAAAACAAATGTGAGGGGGAAAGATGGTGTCGATTTGAAAAGTTAGCAAACAGGAAATGATTATATCTAGGGTTTTTTTCCTTAGTACTATGTAAATGATAATATGATAGGTTTGATCAATACTGGGAGGTAGGAATGAGTGTGTAATGTAAACATTCTCAAAACTGTTGTACATTTCTTTCACAGTCTGACTGCCCATACTCAGAAAAAGTTCCAAGTATTAAAATTCCAATGGACATCATGGAACAGCAACCTTTCCTAAGTGATAGCAAACCTTCCGACAGTGAGTAGAACTAACCTCCTGCATGCTCGCTTGAATATGATTTGCACTTGCAGAGAAAAAACTTTAGAACTATCATCTATACTAAGTTTCCTTCTATTTCGTTTTTCATTTTTCTGTATGAAGATTTATACTTAATTATTATGAAACTTTTATTTTTACATTCCCTTAACTTCACTCTTAACTTCTTCCTTTTATCCATAGCCTTTTAAATTTTTGTTTGGTGGTCTTGTCTCCTCCCCAAGTCATCATCGGTTTTTTTCAATTGCTAAACTTGTAATCAGGTTTTTAATTGTTTTTTCTTTTTTTCCACTGTTATTTAGAATTGCAGCTTATAGTACTACATCACTGTCTGTTACTGTTTGTCTTCCTTAGGTTTCAACCAATGGCCAAATCAGCTCAAAAGAGAAATTGCATCATGGGTCTCTCAATAATCAATGAATCAATTGTTAATATTGAAAATCTGGAGTAATTGTTTTCAATTAAATTGGCAATCGTAAAATATTAGCACAACCTTTTAGGTATAACTCATAAGATATGTGTTTTTTTTTCTAACTTCTTCATTATCATTTCCCTTCTGCTATTTAGAGATTGTCATTGTAACTGCAGTGGTCTTTCTGTGGTAATAGCCTGGTGGCTACAGTGTAATGGTTTGTGACATGCCATCTTTTTTTTTGTAATTGAGTTAACAGGCCACTTGAAAAGGGGGAAAATCTCTGTAGTAACATTAGCAAACATCTCAAGTTTTTCCACTGGCAAGGAGCAATCACCACCAAAATACTTTCCACTTTTATTTCTTATTTGAAGAAAATATATTCTTCTAGATCCAGATGTACTTTGAAGTATACTGATCTATTACAGGAAAAAAGACAGTTGAGACACTTTTATTTCTATTTGACAATGCCACTTCAACTTCAATAAGAGATTACTGTTACCAAGAAAAGTTTGAAATGAATGACTATTGGTTTAAAAATGTATATATTAGTTATTAATTGCTGAGTAACAAATTACCACAGAATTTAGCAGCTGAAAATAACAAACATGTATTTTCTCACAGTTCCTGACATTCAGAAATTTATGAACAGCTGAATTTCATGGTCACAGGGTCTCTCATGAGATTGCTGTTAAGCTGTCAAATTGACAGCTGGGGCTGAGTCTCTGAAGACTTGATTGGAACTTGGGATCTGCTTACAAGCTCACTCATGGGGCTCTTAGAAGGAAGTTTTAGTTCCTTGGCCCATGGGCATCTCCATAGGGCTGCCTATGATATGGCTTCCCCTAAAGTCAGTGATAAAGAGAGAGAAACTAAGACAGAGGCTTGGTTTCTTTTATAACTGAATCTCAGAAGTGACCTAACATCACTCTGCCATATTCTGTTGGTTGTGCAGACCAACCCTGTTAAAATATGGAGAGGAATTACACAAGAACATAAATACTAGGAGACAGAGATCATTGGGGGCCGTATTAGGGGCTGGCTGCCACCCTGGGTTTAAAGAACAAAGAGTGAAAGCAGTCTTACCTTTGGTATCCTATTTGTAATCTGTAACTTGTGACTGACGCTAATTTCTGCTCGCTCCTATCAATGAGATTTGGTTACAAATTTATTTTTGAATTAAGCTTCCCAAACCATGTTCTGACTTCATGTTTTATCTTTAGAGTATTAATAGCAAAAGGAGACCGTGAAATATGTGAACACAGCCTATATGTTTTCTGCTGGCATTGTAACCTGGTAAAGCCCCTTCTAAGTATAATGCAAAGGCTGCTTAACTAAACCAAACATCACCAGCAAATCTGAGGCTCATGGAAAAAGTTTACGTGCCAGTTGTTCTTCATCCTCTCAAAAATTCTTTAAAAGGATAAACTGAGAGTTGATCTGATATTAAAGGTTTACTTAGGCAAAATACACGTGATCATTCTGACTGATGTATTTTCTAATGTCATGCTAATCTTTATAATTCATTAAAGAGCAAAATTGATAGAAGCAGAATCACACGCAGTATAAGTAAATAACTCAAACGTTTTTATCCCCATGAATAAGAGCAGGACAGAATTGTGAATGCTGAATATGGAAGGACATTGAAGGGCAAGTCTTAGACATTACGAAGATGCTATCACCCTCTAAAAATGATTCCCCTCTTGCCTTTCTTACTGAAAAGACAACAGTGGTCCATCCCAGAAAACCTAAAGTAAAGGAAACTAAGTGATTTTGGCTTCATCACACTAATGAGATTCTTAGCTTGATATGGTGTTTATTGAAATTGTCTAAACTTATCTTTCTTACTCTTTCCAGTTGTGAAAGATGCATCTGTTTTCGTGAAGATTTTTGTTTTGACTATAGTTTTATACTTTACCCAAGACCTACTATTTATGATTTAAAAAAATTTTTTTTTCCAGGAGAAAGATCACCGACATTCCTTGAACGCCACACATCATGTTGATAAAATTCCTTTCCTTCCATCACTTGGTATGCCAAGGTAAAGGAGAGCCCAGGATTTCACGTTATTCTGTGGGGTGATTGCTCCACAGAAATGTGGTCAGTGGTGGGTTATTGGCAGAACTTCCTGTCCTTCTTTTCCATGATTTATCTTAAAGAAATTACCCAACGACTGAAACTCGTGTCAGATTTTACTGGTAAAAAGCATTCTAAGAGACCTACTTACTCTTAGAAATAATGGAATCTTTCAGTGTCATTAATTCACAGCCCAGGATCAGCATTAGTTCTTATAACGTCAGTGCTGTCCCCTGATTTAGGGGTGACTGGTGTTTCCTGGCAGCTCTCTTCCAGTAGTTTCCTTCCCTTTTAAGAAGGCTCTAGAGAGTTCAGATCCTCCTCAATTCTCAAGAGTGATATCACTGAATGTTTTTAATCAGGTCAGTCTTTTTGTCCTTTAATTTTTGACAGTATTACCCATCTGGTAATCTCTCTTCTCTTTTTTTGAGGGGGCAGAAAGTATTTTTTTTTTCCTTTTATTAAATCCGGGTATGAGATTTTATCAGATCTTTACTTGAATTTTTTGACTATTGGTATCTTCAACCCATTTAAAAATGTTTGTTTTTAATACACAAGGATGAGATAAGTATTAAAAGAGAGCAAAGAATGACAGATTTGACTTCTGTATAATGCATAAACACTTGACAAACGATAAAAGAAATCTGGTTTGCTTACTATGTCTTTTCCTTTTCTTTTTCATTTTCCTCTAGTCCTCCTAGAACTCCAGTAAAAGTTGTGCCTCAAATAATAATAGAACTTGAGCCTGAAGACAATGATTATTTCTGGAGGAGCAAGGGAACAGAAACTACATTGTAACCTGTTTATCTTTCTTAACACTGACAATTGTTGTTAATGTTCTTGTTTTTTTGGTCTGTTCATTTTTTAATTTTTGTTGTTTAAGTTTTTGGTCACTGGCCAAATAATACAGTGCTCTCTCTGCTTCTGTCTTGCATAGGTAAAATCAAGACAATAAGTGCACCTTTTTAAAAAAACACCATCTGAGGAATCCCCCTTTTGTTCTTATACTTTCAGATGTGTCCTCTGACAACCAAATTTCTCTGTCACTCAAGACATGCACAGATCCTGTTCTTTTCCTCTATTAAGCAGAGGACAAAAGTATTAAGGATTTTATAACACCTTTCATTAAAATATTGAAGGAACTTGATAATTTTATCTTTGAAGCTTTGCTTACTGGCTTGTCTTTGGTAGAACAAACCGTGACCTCCAGACAGAGTTCCTTCTCGCTTCTAGAGCTCTCCAGAACTGGAAAAAGTGTTGCTATTCTAACTTGCTCTTGCTTGTAAACCTTAATTTTAGAGTTATCAAAAGAAGAAAAACTAAAGGTACTTTACTTCCTATAGAAAAAACCATTGCCATCATTGTAGCAAGTGCTGGAATGTCCCTTTTTCCTATGCAACATTTTTTAACCCTTTAATGAATTTATCTGTTGAGTACATTGAAGAATATTTTTCTTCCTAGATTTTGTTGTTTAAATTATGGGGCCTAACCTGCAACTTATTTTTTGTCAATTTTTTAAACTTTTTTTTAATTACTGTAAAGAAAATGAATTTTTTCCTGCAGCAGGAAACATAGTTTTGAGTAGTTCTACCTCTTATTTGTAGCTGCCAAGCTTTCTGTAAAAATTGTATTGTATATAATGTGATTTTTACACACACACACACACTAATACACAATCTCTAGGGTAAGCCAGAAGGCTAGATCAGATTAAAAACACCATGTTTCTAAGCATCCATTTTTCCCTTTCTGTAAAAGAAATTTAACTGTTCTATGAAGGAGATTGAGGGAGAAATGAGAAACTCCTGTGTAATGGGAATAACTGATGTTCTGATAATAGTAGTGTTTGGGCACAGATGCTGATTGTATTATTATGTTGATGTCCTATGCAGTATTGTTAGACATTTTTTCATTTTGAAATACCCGTATGTTTGTGTATAGGCTCTGTGTGTGGCTGGTGCACTTATGTTAGGTGTTTCTAACCAAAGTTAGAGAAAGAATGACAGTAGGCAAAGGGCAAAGTTATCCAGCCTCTGGTGTCAGTTTTCATAAAACCCAAACCACACATGAAATAATCCATCAGAATGATAAAATTCCAAGAAATTCACCATTATGCAGATCGGGATAAATATGTTTTATTATTCAGCAATGTCACCATCATTGACACAATAGCACACATTTACAGTATAAAATCCATAGGAATATTAATAGTCCATTCACATAATAAAGTATTATGGGAATGTAGAAATATCTGCAGAGGTATATGTGTATACACTTTAACAGTACTCTCTCACACATTTATAAGGATGCAAAGGTAATTCTCTATGATCGTGACATTTAGAATACATGTGTACATATATTAATATATGTTTATGTGTGTTTCAAATTACCAAATTGAAAATTAGACTTTTATTAACTAAATTTATCATGGTATTTAAATGTAATGTTTTTAATATGTTACATATATGAATGTATGTTAAACATAACATTTTAAAGTTTGAATTCATAATTTTGGATTATATAAAAATTGGGCTGTATCCTTACTGTAACAGGTGTTGGAGGACTACTGGAAGCAGAAGATACCTTTTATTTTATTTTCACAGTATGCACTTATTGACTCCTACTTGTTCTTATATTAATTAAATTGCAATTCTGTCCTCTTGAAATTTTGATTATAAAAATTTTGTTATCCTAAGTTGGCCATTACTTTTCTAGTATCTGATAACCTTAAAAGTTAATTTTATACAAATTAGGTATAAATGACCTCAATTTTTTCATTAAAATGATATTGGCAAATTACATGTTACTGTGTTAAAACTTCACATGCCAAATTTTGGCATCACATTTGTATTTAGAACTATCCTTAAAATGATTATTCTATATTATCTAGTTTTCTGTTACCCTAATATAAAGCTATACAAGAAGGCTTTCCCTTTTTCTTTACTGATGGGAGCTTCAATAAAATGTTTAAAACCCATCATAATAAATTCAACCTAGTTTATGATCTTGTTAAATTAAAGACATTTTTGTTTACTTTCTGAAAGCCCTTCATTACAGCCTTTGAGTAGATGTAAAAGCTATCTGCACCTCCATTTATGATTCATAATCTGTGATGGAAGGTTGGTATTCATGATATAAACACAGAATAGTACCTTACATTTGCTAAAAGGAACAGTTAATATTAAATCCTTTCAATATAATGGAACCCAGGAAAGTTTTTAAAAAATCATTGCTTTTAGAGGAACAGGAAGTAGTTAACCACGCTAGCAAGCAAAACCTGAGGCTCACAAAGAGTCACCAAATTAACTGTATTTTAATGGAATTTACTCATTGACTAAGAACTAACCAGATTTTCGGGTGGTTTTGTTTTTATGTAAACTGGACACAAATACAACAGTAAATTTTTACAAAGTGTTTCTCTGTGATGTGAATTTGGAGATAAAAGTTTCAAGTTGCTTGAAGTAAAGACTAATAAGTACACTCAGAGTTTTTAACCAGAAGTCCTGTGATTGTAGAAATTTACCGTTGGAGGGTAAGAGATGACTAGGCCAAGCGTCTGCCTTATCAAAACAGTGTACATGCCTCTGGTTTTGCATTTGAGAGAAAATCTCTTGGAGACACTTTTTTCCTTGACAAAAGTCACTCTCCTCTACTGTGTAAAACAACTACTTGGAATCCTAATTATTTTCTGTGCCATAGGCAATAGTGTACCTGCCTCTTCTTCCAGTCAAGGTTAAGGGTGAGAGATGGGGACAGGATTTAATGACTTAAGAAGGAGGAAGAAAAGAAAAACCTTCCTTCTCAGCCCCCACCTCAAAGAATGGGGGTAAAGCAGCTGTATGCTGTCAGTAGTTCAGTTTGTGTGTACTTCATGCACATGCACCAGCACACACAGAGTAAATCTTTTATCAGCTATATATTGGTGTTTAATGTAAAGAATGATTGTCTTCCAAGTTTTTAGTTCTTTTTTTTTTTTTTTAACTGTGTAAAAGTACTTGAAATGTATTGACTGCTGACTATCTTCAAAAAGATAAAACCATTTGAGTTGTATTACAGAGGTTGACATTGTTCAAGGATGGGACAAAGTTTCTTTAGTCCTTTTCACACCACTTAATGATTTTGGTGCAGGAAGCTGAGATTTTTCTTATTTATATTCCATGATATTTCACATATATTCTTCACAGCCTGAGCATGAAGCTCAGTGACACCAAGTGACCGAATATGATCAAATGATTTTTATGGCATTCACTATCCAAAGGGCCTTGCGAATTTTCAGATGGTGATTCCATTGAGCTTCATTGCAGCCTGAAATAAAAATGTTTTGTCATTTATGCTAACCATTCTAGTTGTATTTTAACCAGAAATTCAGATATGTCTTATTTCTTGGCTCATTTCATTGTGCTCTATGGGTATAAAACAAAAATCCTGAATTTTGTTTCTTAGGCAAATATTGCAACTCAGGGCTAAAGTCATCCAGTGAAACTTTAAGAGCCAGAAGTAACTTTGTCCCAGTCCTGCAATGTGAAAGGAGTGAATAGATGCCTCTTTTTAGCCATTTTCATGGCTGGTACATATCTGTACACATTATTTTTCAGAATCAATATGCACTTTCAGATATGCTTATTTTTATTCTCTTAAGTCTTTATTAACTTTGGAGAAATGATGCATCTTTTTATTTTAAATGAAGTAAATCAACATGGTGGAACAAAACGATAAAGAACAGATAACATTTCAATATATTACTAATAATTTTTTTCCAACATAAAACCTAAAATTCCTATAAGATCAACATGGTGGAACAAAATGATAAAGAACAGAAAACATTTCGATATATTACTAATAATTTTTCCAATATAAAACCTAAAATTCCTATAACATAATAGTATTTTACAGTTTTATGAAGCTTTCTATTGTGACTTTTATGGAATTAAGAGATGAAGAAGATGAGATATTTTAGCATTTATATTTTTCAAAATTAAATGTATACTTAAAATAAAGTAACTTTATGCATTTACGAGTGTCAAGTGCTTCTGTTCGACTCTTCAAATAATTGTTAACAGTCTATTATTTTACCGCCTTGGGTGCTGCAGGGAACACAGAGATGAGGAAGTCAGAGTTCCTGTCATCAGATTGCTTTAATCACTCCAACCAGGATAAAATGAGGGTCCAAATTACATAAAATAAGAGATTTGTAAGAATCATCTATTTAAGTATTAATGAAGTACTATCATGCAATGGTTCAAATGAAGAAAAATGTGTTCATCTAAAAGGAATGGGAATGATTTTATTGAGAAGATAGTATTGTCTATTCTTCTTTTATAAAGTTAGTAAAATATAAAATACTGTGTTCTTGAATCCAGGATGATATATATAGTCAATTATTTCTCAAAGGAAAAAAAAAAAAAACTGAAAAATAATTCCTCAAATGAACAAAATCCTGCAATAATTATCCACAGAAGACACATTGCACACACTTTTGCTGGGCCTATCCAAGCTTTCATGTAATATTTAAAAACGTCTAGAAAACTTCAGTCCAGTCCTAAATTATAGTCAGAGAATGATAGGTGGGTGAGAAGCAAGTAATAGAAGGGATTTGAAAGAACCATTAATAGCAATAAAAACTTAAATTGGAAAAACAAAAATAATGAAGTAGGGACATTAGCTAAAATAATCTGCCAATCTGGAAACTTAATATAGAGACAATAGCTCTGAGCATCTGGGTACTGGTGGTGGTGGTGACAATGGGGGGCAGAGAAAAGGATTTGGATTTTATCACTGAGCTGAAAGAAGCAGCAGAAGCTACACTCAGAATAGACCATAATATGGGGGAATTCGGTTAATTCTTCAACATACCCTCAGAGAATTTATTAAATATTGCCGTGCATAACAACAGTCCATAAATTAGGATCAAATTATATTTAGTATGTTATTAAAAGGAATATACTTTTGTACATACTTTTGAATTTCAGGAACTCTTCATTATGCTACCTGGCCTACCTGACCTACCTGAGAACTAGGAAGTACAACACAACTCTGAGCTGCCAAACCATCTGTCTCGAGGTCTAGGCACAAAAATTTGAGCACCTTAAGTCTGGCAGAAGAGCTCAAGTCCTCATGCAGAATCTGTTTACACTTATATTTTCAAAATGTTAACAAGCTTGGTCATCTGAATTTCTCAGAACATAAGAAATGAGAAATAGAAAAGACTATTGATAGAAAAACTGAGTTAGCAAGTATTAGTAGCTTAGTCGTGCCAGGAAGAGAGAAGATACATATATTTTTTCTAAATCTTAGAATTTCTCATGCCTTTTTTTTTCTTCGTCAAAGAAATATCAGGGTTTCTTACGTCCTTATTGTCTTTCTTTTCCTTCTCAGGTTCTTTTGTGAGCTCCTCCTCCTCTTCTTACCTTTTTCATATTAGTATTTTTCCAGATTCTGCCCGAACACATGCAAAGTAGGCTACAGTGAATGCTGTAGATGAATGGCCAGGAGAATCTCATGAAGGTTTGGGCTCAGACATTGCAGCAGCACGGAGGATGGGAATGGCAAGTGGAGTTGGCTGAGATTGGGTATAAATAGCATGAGTGTGCACAGCACACCTCTCCCACCTCTGCTTGTCAATCAGCCTCATGCCCGGCTCTTATTCTTAGGTGAAAAATCAGAGGGTTCTTAATTAAGGAACCAATTGCCTTGGGAGAAATTAGAAACCCCTTTTAAAAAAACCTCTCCTCATTCTGACATTAATGACTGATTACTTTTCTGACACCCAGGCAAGGCTTGAGAGTCAACAAAACTCACCCACAGGCAAAAAGTTCCCTGTCAAACATTTTTCTCACATTCTAAAATGTTTAGATATGTATGGACAATAGAAATCACAAAACATTTGAAGAAATCCTTCAAGCATCACTGAGAAATACTGAGATTAATAGGAAAGATAAACTATAAAAACAAGTATTTCAGAGATTAGAAGTAACTTTAAAAATTATTCTAATCTGCTTTATATTTGAGAAGACATCACCTGTACAAAATTTGAACAGGATGATTTTTTTAATTAAACAAAAAGATAAAAATTAAAAATACAATTCAAAGTTTTTAAAAATTAAAGAACAATTGGAAGTTAAAGTTTATGAAATATCCCAAAATATAGAATCATTTTTTTTAAAAGAAAAAGAAAAGAGAAAACAATATGTAAGAAGAGGTATAGGGTGTCAATCTAGGTGATCCAATTTTCAACTCATAGGATTTCCATAAAAGAGTCCAGGCAAAATGGAGAAGAAATTTTCTATAAAATAAAAATTTTAAGACATGAAAAGACACACATATCTTCAGATACAAATCTGAGTGCCCAGAACAAAAAATAATTAAAAATATACACACATGGCATTGTGGAATTTCAGATTACCAAAAATAAAAATTTCAGAACACAAGAATAAAAAGAATATCTTTAAATTGTTCAGAAAAAGAGACTACAGAGAAATCAGAACTGAGGTGGTAACAGTCTTTTCAACAGCAAAACTGGGTGTTAGAAGATATTAGTGTAATGTCTTATTCTAGAGGAAAATTATTTTAAATCTACAATTCTACAACCAACAAATTTATCAAGAGTATAACAGCATAAAATATTTAGAAATCTTCAAATTCTGAACAGCTCATCTTCCACTCACCT